ATTATGGCGTAATAAAACTTTATGTAATCTCCAGGAGAATAAGATCAGATATAAAAAAATGAAAAACTGGTGTAACTCCAATCTGCCGTCATTTAATGTTCTCATAACGAACTTAATATCATTCAGCTCCTTTATTGACAGCATCAACAACAAAAGACGCAGAGAAGATGATTGAAAACAGACCTAGTTCTAAATTTTTGAGGGAAATAATTGACAATAAACTTAAATTCACTGATCACATTGTAACCTTCAATAAAAAGCTAGCTTCAGCTAGCTAGTTTTGCAGTGAGGATAATTTATAAGGAACCTGGTTTGTTTGCTGCTAAATAGGGTTAGTTCTCGCTCATTCATTCTCATTCAAATTATGGAGTTCCCTTCTGGGGAGTATGTTGCAAAAGAATTGCAGACTGTTTTCATTATACTAGAAAGAGCTATAAGATTCATGTGCAATGCCAAAAGTCGAGACTTTGCAAACTCTTGTTTGAACTACATGAAATTTTGAGTCTTTGGAATTTTCATTTTAGAAACAGGCTGATTAACAAACTGATATTTAGCAGCTACTCCAATAAATATGCCCTTCGTCAAGTTAATGACCTAAGATTACCCATACCATCCTCCATTCTAGTCAAAGACTCCTCAAATTATAATGGTTTTAAGATATTTTACCATTTACGTGATCTTATTAAAATTATAGAGGATAACTGTAAAGTTGGGAAATCAGTAAAATATTTATTACGTGGTAGACTCTATATTATAGTAAAGAAGAGTTCTATGAGGACACTTTTTTCCAACTCATTTCATGATCGAATTTTTAATATATAAACAAAGTATGATACACTGCATTTTTAATATTTTAAACTTTTCTGGTATTGTTTCTGTAGCATGTAATACTTCTCTTCAGTATCCGTATGTAATGTATGTGTTTGGATATACGAACTGTTAGTTTAGACACGCCCGAAAAAGCTACTGTATAACTAAACACGTGTTGCGTGTTTTCATCCAGTATCAGCCGATTCCATCACATAGAAACAATGTTATATTATCACAAAAGCATTTCAAAATTCTCAACTTCCAATATCCTCATTTATTCAAAGATTTTATGTCCCGGCAAATTCAATGAAATCTTTCCTTTTTCAATTGATTGAGTGTAACAAATGTTGAAAAATAAATTGACTATTATTCTGTATAATGAATAAAGATTCAAGTATTTGGTAGCATCCCGGTTGTCACTTTATTGAAATATAACTTATTGAAATTGACAGAGAAGCAACAAGATATTATACAAGTGAGGAAAAAACAAAGCTGGTGAATGCCAAAGTAGTCAATGATGACCTTGAAACGTTGGGGTGTACAAAACTGCAAAAAATATACTATTTCAGTACATAAAAAACACATTAGTTTTTCGATTCTGGTTGTTTTTGTGCAAATATTAGGTTATACTCATTGGGGAATTCAGACTGGAAAACTCACCGAACTACAACAGAACGGACCGAACAGAAATTTCGGAACAAGTAGAGGAGCACATATTGAATATGTGCACGGACCACATGACACCGAAGTACACCTTTAACACAAACTTCACAACCAAAATCATAAGCCGTGAAGAGTGGAAGACCATTAGTCATGCCGAAAACATGTTTGGAAAAAACACCTGGTATACAGATGGATCAAACATGGAACGGGAGCTGGAATATACCGAGCGGATAGAAATTAAGACTACAGCTATTCGCTAGGACTATACACATCCGTCTTTCGGGCCCACTAGGGGCTCTGACAAACCCAAAGGAGACATCAAAACTGGTCTGGGAATGCCATGAAGAACTGAATAAACTTGCAAACAGGAACAAATCAACTTTGTACTGGGTGCCAGGGCATTCAGGAATCACAGGTAATGATAAAGCTGATGAATGTGCTAGATGCGGATCATCAACTTCATATATAGGTCCCGAACCAGCTCTGGGGGTACCAAAATCATTGGCACGAAACCAGATTAGGACATGGAACAATAAGAAGCACACAGAGTACTGGACAAAAGTATCTGGCAACAAACACAGTGGAACCTTCATCAGGGAACCGTCCGAGAATAATTACAGGGTTACTAACCGGTCATTGTTTGCTTAGAGGATACCTGAATAAAATGGGGCTGTGCAACGGAGACCTCAACTGCAACGAAGGGATAGAAACAGCTCTACACATCTTATGCGAATGTGAGGCACTGAATCACAGGAGGCAGGTATGGACGTACGAAATTACGTTCAGAAGAATATGACGAACATCCAACACGGAAACTTGTACACACTAGTACAGGGAACGAGACTGATGGAATGGGTGTCATGAGAAGATGGGAGAATAAACGCAATAAGCCCAAGAGGCTGCAGTGTTTTCTGAAGACTTGGACTAAAGGGACAAGTCAGACAGTGCCTAAGGGACCAAAAAAAAAGGTTATGATCATAAGAACTGATCCTCATCAATATTCAAAACTTTGATTCCAATAAATTGTTTTTAGAAACCTTTATATTGATCAGTGAAACTTCCATTACTGTCAAAATAACAATACTGTACAATTTTCACCATATAAAGTAATTAGTAATGAATTTTGAAAATTTTTCTGGAAGTACAGCTTATGAACTTTCAGATTCGTGGTTGAAGCATTCGAAATATAAATACTTTTCGTTTAATTTCGGGGAGTATGATTTGTGTCTGGTTTATCAACACATTCTTTGCCATTATGGTCTATGGGACCGAGACGAAAGTGAACCAACAAAAACAGCGCCTTATAGTCCGAGATCATTTCTACGGTCCTATACGCCGAAGATGTGTTTTGAATGGGGAATGTTCCTCAATTTGGGTTATTACAGCAAATAAAGTCGAGTTTAATTCATGAGTTTTTCAAATTCACTTCGAAAAGTATTCAAATTGACGTTTCAAATGTTGGGTTTTAATTTTTAAAGGGATTTGTTTCTAATTCACATATTGCCAGCAGCACCTATATCAAGTTGAAATAATTTATACGTACCTAGATATTCTACTTTGAAAAAGGAAAATTATCTTTATAAACCAACAATTGAGGCAAAATATAAATGAAGTTCAATACTACCTCCACAAGCCACATAAACAGCAGTTGTTTTGTTATTTATTTATATAGAGGAAGATAGGTTAGGTGCACAGAATGTCTCAGAACTCGGAACATGAGTAAACAGAACAGTACGCCTCTGAAATATGTCATCTTTGTTTGTCTCATACAGGTAACAGATTCATTGTCCTTTATTAGCTATAACCGATGTTGTCAAATGGTGAAATAGAAACGAATCCCTTTAAATGGTGAATGCATTATTTCATTAAGTATTTAAATGATGTTTTAAAGAAAAAGGTTGAAATGATAAGTTTAAAATGCGTTGTTTTAGAGCTCTTTTATGAAAACTACTTGATTCTCGTCAGGAGGAACATTCCCCTTTGTGTATGAATACGACACCTACGATGTCTAGGACACTTTTTTGATTTTTCAATCGGTCTATTGAAATGTGGAAATACATTAGATTGAAAGGTATAAAGAAGTCATGCCGAAAAAACATTTAATGTTGTGAAACTCAAACTGCTATGAAATTGATAACATTTCATTTCAACTTGTTCGATCTTTTCATTTCAATTCATTAATTTTTGTAGTTTTCAAAGTGCGTTCTGCGACTTTTTATAATCGTTAACTGTTCTTCAATTAACTTCAATTAAAAGTGCTTTTTGGACTGTCGTGAATTTATATTTCTCTCAAAAAATTTAATCACAAACTATAACATCAAGAAAACACTTCCATGATAATAATAAATAAAACATACATTGGAACACAGGTATATTTTGATCTTTATATTTTCCTCTAAATTTATTTCATTTTCACTACTATAATCAAGAATTGTTGGTTATCAAATTAAAAATGTTTGCAATTAATTTCCTTAAATCTACATCATTTGTCTAATTTATACATTATCCATTTCAACCTAAAAAGTGTCTTATTTCAGATATAATATAAAAATTCAAGCGGGTATGTACACACAGCAACATAAATGATAAAACGATATCATCTGGACAAATAAAAAAGCAACCCCTGTGCAATCATTCTTCAATTTACCTACTTTTACTAGTACTAGGCGTGCTATTTTTGGAATTGCTCGAACCCGTGGATGCAGGGCTGCCTTCTTTAGTGGCGCCATTAGTGGACTTGGCTGGTTGGGGAATTATCGTAATTTCGTCGTTGATCTTCAACGATTTCAACTGTTCAGACTTTCCGGCTGGAGATGGTGTGGCTTTTTTATCCATTACTCGCTTAGCCACTACGCTGTGAGCGGAATAAACGTGATTTTCAAACTGCTTGTACATGCCAAATGTAGCTGTACACACTGTACACTTGTAGGACAAGTGAGCTGGTTTCAGAATCGTGTTATGATCTCTTGCGACGTGGTTGAGGAGCTTCCATTGATACACCTGGAATTTAAAATGTTCAATTACGATTCCATCTGTCTGAAAAAATGTGCACAATATTCAGAATTTGCAAATATGATCGACTCTGGAGTGTATAAGTCGACTTGCGGTTGTTGTCCAAAATTTTATATTGGACAAACCAGAAGAACGTTTTCCAAAAGAATAAAAGAACACAGACGTAGTTTTTTCAAAATTCGCGAATAATCTTCTGACAAAGGGGCACGAGTTCAATCACGATTACTACCCATTTCATTTGGGAGAGAAATTTTCAAAACTCAACCTTTTAGAATAGATGTAAAAATTCGCAAATATTATCGACTCTGGAGTGTACAAGTCGACTTGCAGTTGTTGTCCAAAATTTTATATCAGACAAACCAGAAGAACGTTTTCCAAAAGAATAAAAGACCATAGACGTAGTTTTTTCAAAATTTGCGAATAATCTTTCGACAAAGGGGCATGAGTTCAATCACGATTACTACCCATTTTATTTGGGAGAGAAATTTTCAAAACTCAACCTTTTAGAATAGATGTAAAAATTCGGGACTATTGATCAAATAGATTTCAATTGTTTCACTTTATTAAATTCAGTTATAGTGTAGTAAATATTGTTATTCATTATTTTTCAGTTTTATGTGTTGTTCCTAGATAGGTAAATAGTTTAGATAATAGTTTATCATGTAGAAATTTCGCAGGTGATAATATTCATGATTCAAATTACTATAAAAGCATGACATAGAATTTGTACAAACAGTATTGTGACGCCTGAAGATACTATCATATAGCGAAACACGTGTCACGGTTTTGTAAACTTTCAAGTGTGTTTTTGAATACATTAGAATTTGTGGAATACTGAAAATTGATGTATCCACTAGGCCTTACATATTATATCGTCAATGCATTTGAGAACGAAAATATACTACAAGGAATTTTTTAAATCTCTTTAAAGCAACTGTTTAAATCATGAATATGAATATTTGTTATAAGAGGAATTTGGAATAAGAGGCTATGCTTTAGAATGGTTCGAATCTTATTCAAGTTACCGTAGACAAAAAATAAAAATCTTCTCAGATAGTATAGTTGGTCTGCTAGATACAAAGAAAAATAATATAGGCATTCCATAGGGAAGCACAACTATTTATTGTTTTAGAAATTTTGAAGGACAAAAATTATGATTTTCATCACATAGCCAAATTATTTTATTTATTAATTTATGGCAATGCATATTTTTTACGAAATAATTAACAAGTTCACACATATGTATTTAACAGTAATCTAAGCTAGGTTTAAGGGAAAAAAAATGTAAAAATGAATTACAATTTCTTCAATTTTTTTAAATGTTTCCAAAGAAGAATTAAAAAATTCTAAATCTACACTGTATGTATTTGCAAGCCTCAAAATTCTACCTACAGATTCATTCCGGCCAAAGTTGGTGCGACAAAAGGGTACTTTGAAGATTTCCGAATTTCTTGTTCTCCTTGAATTCACATTTAAAGTTATAAGTTCGACAAGTTCCGGGGAATTGATGCTACCATTGATTATTTTATGAATTAGTGTAAGGTCTGCTTCTAATCTTCTATGAGCCAGAGTATTCAAGTTAAGAATGTCCAATATAATTTTATAGTTATATTCACCAATATAATATCCCAGTTTATATGCAGAGTACCATAAAAACTTATTTTGAACACTTTCAAGCATATCAATATCCACATGATATGAAGAGCACCAAATTGTGGAATTGTATTCGATTATTGATCCAACAATTGAACAATATACGATTTTTTTTTGAAGTGAGAGATAATTCATTTGCAGATCTAAGAATGAAACCTAACATTTTTAGTGCTTTAGAAGTAATATTTGCAATATGAGGTTCAAATGACATTTTTGGGTCGAGAGTGATTCCTAAATCTCTGATTGTGTTTGTTGTTTTCAGTTCTGATTGATTGATTTTATAGGGCCGGTTAATGGGATTTTTGTTTCAGAGAAAAAGTATATTTTTGACATTTGTCTATATTTAATTGCAGTAGATTCGTATCACACCAGGGAGCAAAGTTAGACAAATGGTACTGTAATAATTCTGTATCAGTCAAGTCATGAATAACATCTTCAGGTCATCAGCAAACAAAAGAAAAAGAATAACATCTTTCAAGAAATTTACAAGTACGTTGAAAAGCAATGGCCCTAAATGAGAACCCTGTGGTACATCCGATGAAACTGGGATTGAGGAAGATACTGAGTTACCATATTTTACAAATTGTACTCTGTAGGCTAGATAATTTTCAATCCATTTCAGAATGATTTTTTGAAAACCCAAAGTGTTTATGCAACAACAAATTGTGGTTTACTCGGTCAAATGCCTTTGAAAAATATGTGTAAATAGAATCCACCTGGTGTCTATTTTCAAAGGCATTTATTATGGTGTTGATAAATGAGCAGATTTGTGCATATCATAGATATGCTCATAGGACATACAACAAAGAATATCCATTTCATGTAAACTGTGGAATATCTCAGGAACACGAATAGGATTTCCATAGGACATCCAACGTTGGTCAGGAAAAACTCGTCAAGAAAATTATTCACCGCTCTTTAGAGCCTAAAATAAGTAATGAATTTTGAGAAAATAATCCCTCAACGACGAATTTCACCATGATATTCAGTAACATAATGCATGCACTAGCTAACTAATGTTCCAGCTTGCTAGAATTTGTCAAGAATCAGCAAAGCAATATAAAAAAATTATAACTCATTAAAACAGTTCATTGTATGATTTTCACTATAAAGGGTTTTACAAAAACTGGTGTTTCGCTATACAAACGTTAATATGTGAAAACAATACGTTAATATGTTTATAACAATACATTTTCTGAGCTGAGGCCGATTGACCGAGGCGTACCGCAGGGATCGGTTTTGGGGCCGCTTTTGTTCGTTATTTACATCAATGATTTTTACAACTATATGAAGCCATGTCACAGTGTACTATTTGCTGACGATACATCCTTGATATACTCTTCAATGAATAATTCAGCTCTTGATAAGTCTATGGAAATACAAAAAAAAGCGGAGCACTGGTTCAGTGTCAACAAACTCATGACTCATGAATAAGGAAAAATCACAAAACATAATTGTTTCTATGGCTCTGCCATTACCTGAGTTCCAGTGTGTCAAATTATTGGGTTTTACTCTGGACAATAGGCAATATTGGTCAAGCCACATTTCAAGTTTGAAAAGTAAGCTATCGAGTGCCTTATTTTTACTTAGACAGCTGAAACCAATAACAAATTTCGCTACGGTGAAAACAGTATTTTGCTCGCTCATACAGTCTCACATTTCTGCCCAATGCATTTTTATATTACAGAAAAAAGCTCTTGAGAATTCTTGCTGGAAAAAAAACTGTTTTTATTCCACTTCAGAATATTTAGAACATGTGACGCACTTTTGACGCAAGGAAGATGCTCGTCGAACCTCCACACTTAATTTGAATATGTTAATATACCCTGTAAACTTGTTACAAATTTTTACTGTTTATTTTATTTTAGACTAGTCTGACTTGTCATAAATGTATTTTATACATAACATGATCAAATAAATATATCTATCTAATAATAAGTTGAGAAAGCTATGGTATAGTGGTTTTTGTAAAATCCTTTATAGTGAGAATCATACAATAAACTGTATCAATGAAATTTAATATGGATTTTCATCAAGTATCGACCAATTCTATTCAATTACAAAAAAATATGTTTTTGGTGGATCAAGATGTTGAAATTTTTAAATTGTTCGCATTTAATGTTTGAAGTAATCAAAATCTCGAATTCCTTTGAGATGGTCGGTGTGATGGATAAGTGGATCACTCTGTATTCTGTCATGACGAGATTATTTGAAAAACAATAAAGCAAATGCAGAAAAATGCCCCACAAAAGTTATTCTTCATTCATTACAAAATAATTTGTTTTGTTACGATTTGCAACGGCCAGAACTAATCTGAAATCAAGCAAACTTTCACAGTTGGAACGTTTCAAGTAGAATTCATTTCACTGAAAGTTCAAAATAAGACAATTCAACTTCTCGTTCAAATTAGTTCTTTGAAAACCCTTACACGGCGGTTAGATATGTGTTAACAGTTGTTGAGCATGTCATTTTAGCGACTCAGAAACTAAAAGAGAGCAAAACTGATACGCAGGCAAATCTGTCGTACCTGAACGGCCATTGTGCTAGAGGCGGAAGGCATGTTGGGAAGAAACATGTGGCCAGGATTACCAAGCCGGCCGCCTATCTCTTGTCCTCCCACCACCTAACACACAGTCCAATTTGCATCACGATGACAAAGAGAAATACTACATGTGAGTGCATAAAAATACAATTCTATGGTCAAACACAAAATATTCCTACTGATTTCTTACTTCGTTCAATGAATTATTTGAAAACATATCTTTGAAATGTCTTTTTACTTTTGTAGTGATGTCACTATTTCTGATCGATTTCGAGCTATTGTCTTGCGAATTTTTTTTTTTAGTCTACCTTTGAAAATTTCCAAGTTTCTTCCTTTAAAAGTAAAACGCCATTTAAAAAATAAGTGGGTGAAGCCTTGGTAGATAACCAATTATCTGATTAGCCCGTTATAATTCATTTTTCCTACCATTTAAATTCTCAGCCACAACCCAAGAGGTCCACCATTTTTCTTGTTATTTAGTAAAACAATATTTTTTTTAATAATAAAAGGACGAGAAAGATGGTAACCAGCCTTTTTTCTTTGGCCCTTACTCTGACCAAGAATGTGTGGTGTAACTGTACGATTTCTCTGAAATCTAGGCTGACCACACATGATCATATCAATGCCAAGGTGTTGCTGGAGGGCCTGATAGGTCCCCCAGACCCCTTGGTGTGGTCATAACTGACTCTTATAACATTACAACCTATGACATGTTGTGGCCTTTCTTATTTTTTTTTTAGGTAAGTGTCCTCCAGATAAGATGTAAACTGAACTAAACGAAAAAATCCCTTGAAAATCCACTAACTGATATCAGGATTATTGATTGAAGTGGGAGCATATTAATAACGTATGAAATGTACAAATATTCTAACATCAATTTTTTTTTTTTTTTTTTTT